GTTTCTCCATCAAGTTTGATTGAGTTGGTGTTCTTCGTGTTGTATTTGAAGCTCTTGATTGTTCCTTTGTTATGTGTGTATGCTACATTAGTTGTCTTCATCCGTACTTGTTCGTGTGTATGGGATATTTGGACTACGTCATTTTCGAAGTCCAAATCTTCTAATTGATTCCGAGTTTTCCGTTGTATTCCGTGCTTTCCCTCAGATGTCAATATCTTCATAATCCAGTCAATCACCAGAAGAATGAGGAAGGGGGAGAGTAGACAGACCTGTCTAACTTCGGTCCTTACTTGAAATGCAACTGTCAGCTGTCTTCCATGCACGACTTTGCACTGTAGTCCGTCGTATGAGTTCCGGATAATGTTGACAATCTTCTCAGGAACTCCATAGTTTTAAAGAAGTTTCCACAATGTTCTCCTGTCCACACTATCAAACACCTAACAGTCAATGAAGTTGGTGTGTAGTGACAAGTTTCATTCATTCAACCTTTTACATATCAGCGGTTGTTGTTATTTGAAGACGACATGTATTTGACATATTCCAAAAGTTTATTGTCTAATTTCATATGATTGTTACAGTTAGAGTTTCAAGAAAAAAGCACCACATAGATTTCTTTAAATTTTTCCGACATTATTATGTGATCTATTGGTTCTTAAAATATTTCTTTTTCTGTTTTGTCTTGCTTATTATCCTACTGAACAACAAACGATAATAATATTTATATTTTCCAAATTGGTTACAATACTGGTAAATATTACTCATTACTTGGTTGTAGTTTCATAATCACCTGATTACATAAGAACCAGATTTGCCTCATTTTCTGTTTTTAGTTTTCCCTTGTCAAGTCACCTGTTGCCATGTCTAATACTTATTATTTATGTCATAATAAAAACTTGAACGAATTATGTAACCTATTTTCTTACCTTGTTCGTAATACAAATTTTATTATTATTATTATTGTTATTACTATTATGTCATAATAAAAACGTGAACGAATAGTGTGACGTATTCTTTTACCCGGTTCATTAATATAAATTTGACTGTGGATTCAAACATTGTGTGAATCCCATAATAACCTATGTGTCAACATATAATTGAGCTTAATGAAATTATATTTTCTTAGCTAATTTTTACAACAATAAATATGTGGTTAGAACATTGTCTAACTATCAATATCATTGTCTACCTATATTGTTGATTTTGAGTGTCTGCATTTATATGAACTTTGTTTAAGAGCATTATCATTCAGTTGACTTGTCAGTGACTGTCAGTGATAAGCCTGTTAAATTTTGATTCATATTTTTAAAGAAAAATTGTGAACGAATAATAACTGAAGAACCATGAAACACTGTGCAGTTCCTTCGATTTTGCAAGTACTCACAATAAGTAACCGAAATAATGAGTTATGATTAGTACAACAGTTTTCGTCGATAGTTTTAAAATACGGTTGTGTTGTGTCAATAATCCGATAAAGGAATTTTTCAAATTCACCATAATAGTATAGAAGTCCTGTGCTCTCTGAGGTCCTCGGAATTAATGAGTTGTTTATGGTATTTAACCGTGTCTACATATCAATAAATAGTTCAGTAATAGAACAAAATAGTGATTCACTAATTTTTGGTTTTAAGTTGTTCTCTATTTAATATGAGTATGTATAAAAATAGTGATTTTAAAGAAACTTATCTCAGACAAAAAGAACTTGGCAATAACAGTTCTAACATTGATACTAGATCATTTCAACTAGAATCCTTATAACAATACAATTTAAACTGGCAATCAGTAACACCAAATCCAAAATCCAAATTGTGATAAGGTCGTACATCAATTAATTCTAAACATCCAACTGTCAACAAGATACATCACCTTAGTAGGAATTAGGTTTTTTCATTGGTTTTAATCTAGAAACTATCTATTTTAATTGTAGTTTGAACATCTTTGTGTACTGAGAATTCTAACATTATATGGAACACGTTTAAAAAATATTAAAGAAACTATCTGCTTTATTACATTTGTATAACCTAATGCTTTTCATTACTGATATTAATCCTAATAGTTATGGAGACAATCATAAATTTATTTAGTAAATACGATATTTAAAATTGTCATTGGTTAATTATGATGATTTTCATTGTATTGTTATAAGTTCAGTAAAAATTTAATTAATCTATGGTTAACCTAAATGGTAACTATTTCCTAAATGATGTTTATGCCAATATACAAAACAGGTTATAACTGGTATAGGGAATTTCTCATTTATTATTTGGTCAAAGACAGTGTGTATATGTGTATGTTATTATCACTAAAATAATCAATCATAAAGAGAATAATTACAATTAATTCATTTTAAAATATTCATTTACTAAATATTTTCAAGTGGCACAAGGGTGAGATGAGATCAAAGAACGATTCACATGTTTATGATTCCCACACTTCATTCAGATATTTTTAATATCTAAGACCGGGATAGACAATAGTGATACAGATATGGCTTTTCGATGCAGAAATAGATTGATGTTCGTGTCTGAACCCTCTGTGTCGTATGGGTTGTAATTGTTGGAGGAACAGTAGCCCTTGATGATCGGAGTTAGATCTTGATAGCGAGTACCAATTCGTATGAAATCTTGGTCTTTGGGCTTGGTGTTGATCATCACTCAACTATTTTTTTTCTCAGTCTAACATTTTAATGCTCTAACTGGTAACTGGCTTGGTTCTTAAACCATTTAATTCTTATCGGTTGAGTTATAAGTCCCGACTTCGTCTCACTATGAGAATCAAAGGTAAATTAGTTGTCATTTTCACCGTATTCAAGCACGAATAGTGAAAACTAGAACTATGAGATTAGTACCGATTTTTTCTTAATACAGAGGTATCTATATGTACATATGTGTAGTACAATTATTGTGTATAAAAATTTGTTGCCTCAATAATTATAGGATTTTTAAGGTCATGATCAACAGGTTATATCGATTGTAAAATGCGAGCACCTAGGATAACTTCACCATATAACATTATATGTAATCCTAGTTCATTATTGAAGTCAATCGTCTACACATCTTGTCATTTATATTATATTGTCGCAACTTATCTATTGCTATTCTTAGTATTACATTGTCATTGGTATTGGGTTTTGTGGATCTTAGATCAGTTCATTATTATTATTATTTCCGTTGGATTTCTTGAATTAACTTGAGAAATAACACCTTTTTTTTACTAATGTTAAACATATATAACCGCACATACAATTGTTATCGATTAAAATTAATCTATAAAAAGTAACAAGCGATGGTAGATAAACTTATGAATTCTTATTTTCTAACGACATGAATACATTTTGTTCCTTGGTGTGGTTTAATATTTATTAACATTAGTAATAATAATAATAATAATAATAATAATAATAATAATAATAATAATGTTGAAAACTTGATCATAAACATATTTTGTCTGAGTCATTCACTTAAGTGGAAACAAAATAAGAGTTCTGTGTTTTCTCAAATATATTAAATTTTCAGTTGTAATAGTAATATAATATAATATGTTCATGTTGACAGTTGACAAAGACGATGGTAGTTGTGTGTATATGTATACATGTATGTATGTGTGACCGTATGGTTTCAATTTGTTTATTTATTTATTTTCTATGATGGATCTGATAATTCTGTTATTCTGGATACACACTTTATAAACATATACTTATTTAAACACACACGCAATACAACACTATACATACATGAATATGTTATTTATTTATTTACCTATCTATTCACATTGATAGTTTTAATCCTTTAATATTAGGTGTTAGACTACGACTATATGTTTATGTTTACAGATGGTAGCAATTTTAATTGTAGTTTATTTATTTGGTTCAGTGAACTACAGTTATTACATTTAAGGTTGGCACTACTAGTTGTTTTAATTTTTCCAAAAGAAAATTACTTCGTATTAAAAGATTAGATGGATAGAAAAATAAACAATTATCCACGTCTCACAGATTGAAATCATGAGTTAGTTGAAGCTAGACCACCATTGAAAACCTGGAAGCACTGAATTATCCATGTCATTTGACTATGAAGAAGATGTTTATTATTATGAGTATTAGTGTTGATAGCTAGTCATATGAACTAATATAAAAACAGTAAAAATAGAGGTTAAGTAACCGATACTATTACAAATCAATCAACACAATATATGAAGTTTGTTTTTATTAGTTAAAAATAAATTGTGAAAACTATTCCTTCTCATAAAAAAGTTACTAAAATAATACAATAATCTATTTTTAAATGAAAAAGGTTAATCTAAGTACTCATTTTATAACACAATCATCCTTGTGAAATGTACCCATCTGTTATTGTAGTTTATCAATTGTTTAGATTATACTTGAATATAATGTTAATTTGATTTATCAATCTGATGTGGTGGATTCGATTAATCATTCAGTTTAAATTTTAAAAATGAATACTCAGAAGAGTAGTCTTTATAGTAATATAAGCAGCCATATGGAATATATAATTCTTTGTATGAAGTTTCGACAACTGTAAACAAGTAATTCCGATGTTAAGATAAGGAAGAGATACTGATCATAGAAATGTAAAACACTGATTGACAATCCAGTAGTTAGAAGATTAAACAGTCGATGAGGCAGCCGAAAATTTTGGGTTTAATCCATGGTGGGGTCATGGAAGTACACTATCAAGGAGTCTCATATTGGTACTGAACTCCTGTTCAATGTTTCCTGATTATTAATGGTTGTCAAACTACAGTCAGCTCATGATGTAAACTACAAAAATAGAACAAAGAGATTTATTCAAATTATATCACAGAACAATTTCAAATAATCTGTAGTAGAAGGTTAATCCAACCGATCTGATAGAAGCTGAATAATTAATGATGACTTGTGAAACAGTATGAAAGCCACGAAATGCTACAAATGATTTCTTTTACTGTCATGTCTTTGACCCTATTTAACGCTGTATCACTATACTTAAAAAAATCCATTCCAGGTAATGTAATCACAATCGAAATTACGGGAACCTCAAACACACTGGATACACTTAGTGAAGAAATCATGTCTAAAACAAATCTTACTATATCTAGTAAATTATATATTCAGGTCACTACAGATTCACTAGAGACAACAAGAAGAATAAATTTACTCAACGGACTTCACAGAATGCATATGAACACATGATTCTTTAAATAAAGTACTTCTCATATTATTGGATCGACTGAAGCACCAGTTTGCATTGATTTATTTAAAGTACCCTATTATAATGTTCTAAAGGAGAATTGCTTATTTGTTTACTTATTCATTTTCATTTAAAAGTAAAATTGTATTTTATGTATTGATAAATGAATAAAACAAACATATCGATAACACTCAACCTATTTTTCACCTGAAGCATGATTAGCTGTATAGTTTTGTTTGTTTTTTAATTGTGATAAAGATAAACATTAGCAACAATGTTAAATAAAGAAGAAAATTTCAGTGTCAGTTCCCACTTATCCACTGGGAGTAACTAAAACGAAACACAATAAGAAAAGAAATGTACTGTGAAATTTCTTGGTTTAGTTTGCGATTTTTATTATTGTACATCGTTAACGTTTCTATATCAAATGAGTATCACTGTTACACAATGAATGTTTTGCCATTTCGTTTGTTATACAAGAATCAGATAATTGGTATTTTAACCATATTAGACAATATAATTGAGGAACACATGCCTGTAATTAGGAATTTGACAGTTTGAGCCAAAAAAGTGGGCATTTCTTTCATCACTCACTGTCTCAGGAACACTACCAGAAACAAGATCTTACTGGATCCTCAACTACCTAATGATACACTGTATTTTGCGAGGAGAAAGTTGATCCGTACCACGTTATTCATATTGTCAAACTCCGAATACCTGTAGCATCTTCAATATTGATATTCACAGAGTTTTTACGAGAATCGTATAGAGTAAAGAAAGTATAGGAGAATAGTTAAATCTGATGCACATCTCACCATTATCAGTTTTTATCATTTTCAACACAAAGTGTGTCACTAATATTAGAGTATTCAATATGACCCACTAAAGGTTAAGAAACTGCACAGACTTTAATCAATTTGGTTTTGAAGTCATCCTTAATAAATTGGTATATTTAAAAAAGCGCGAGAGGAAAAATCTTAGGATGTTGTCTGAATATGTGCGGAGCAGACCTAGTCTCTTGGTTACATATTTTTACGGAAGAGAATTTACATTCTATTCATGTAAACGTTTTCCAATGTTTTGCTAATGAATAATATTTCGAAGAAAAATGAGCAATATCCTACATATTTTTGACTGGGCGAAAGTTGGTTGAGCTTATACGAACTAAATTTTAAACTGACTTAAGAGTTTATATGAAACATTGATCTTTATAAACCCCTATATTAACATGCCAAGGTCTTTGAAGGGCCCGTTTTATTGGTAATTTTTAAACCAAGCAAACAAGAATGAACAGATCGAATGTGTAGCGTAATAATGATATGTTGTGTTATAGTGACGTATTTGTGGCGTTTTCCAAAACGTTTTTTGATGAAATAAGGCTTCTTCAAAATCAATGGTGTTCTCATTTTACAAGACTAGTCTTCAGTATTAATCTAGATTGGGTAGCATCTTAATAGACCCCAGACTAACATTAGAAATTAATTATCAACGTATTTTCCTGCAATAATGTTTACATTTGAGTTCAATCAAGAATCTGATTTATCAGGTAGTTTGATTTACATAAATTAATTCCCAAGGCGAATGCTACACGGATAGAACGATAAATTTAATTTACACTACTTTTTAATGCCAATAGAAGAAATGAAGATTTAATCCTATAGAAAAATGAAGAGATTTCATCTAACATGTATGGTAAGTCTTTGGCCAGTTATTAAACGAATGCTTTATAGAGCAGGCATTTTTGGTTGCGTAAGAACTACATGTCAGATTATCCACTCAATTAGAAGTATTTAGCATAGTCTATAAGTATTGTAGCTAGTGCTCCTAAGTGGCAGTACTAAATGTTTACCTTTTGGTTCAAAAGGTGAAATGTTAACCATGGATGTAACCTAACAGTTCGAGGAGGTAACTGGCAATAAGCACTTTCTTCGCTGAACATGGAGCATTGGAGTTATAGATAATTCAAAATCAGCTATAAAAATATCCTACCATTCCAAAAAGTATGAAATGCAGTTCAGTAGAAGACTTATTGTTTGCCTAACTTATCAGGCTAATGGATAAGTGAAGAGGAAATTCCCCGTAGCTCTTTGGTGGCGTGAATATAGTTACAGTCAGTCATTCAGTCAGTAACAACGTAGAACGTCGTACGTACGTACATCAGTTCGAGTTGCCACACCACATTAGCACAGAGATGCAGTGGTCGATTCAAATCCCATACTGGTAGAGGTAATAAGAGCATAAGCAGTAATCAAGAAGATTAGTGTTTCGAGATGTTACTTAAAGAGTATAATACAGTGAAATAAATTTGGGAAGAGAAAAAAAAGAGACAAGGGGGAATCAGGAGATCAAAATTTGGGAGAACACAAAGAGTGTATACACCTGCGCCATTGCAAACGATTTTGAGCCATATCATTCAGGGTCTCTAACCATCAGTTGCTATCATCTCTCGGTCCCCAACCAGGTAGTCTACACCTACCAACATGACTCAGACCACTTGTCAGTGACTTCGTGGACTTGTGCCATGTTTTGGTTTGGCCGCCCCTAGCTTTCTTCCAACCTACTCCTATACCACTGAACATCGCACGTCGAGGCAGTCGGTCGTTGGGCATACGTAACACGTGTCCCAGCCATCTCAACTAATGAAGTTTCGCCACTTCATCAATCGATTTGCCATCCTTACCTAGTACGCGTTTCCTAACAACTGCATTACTTACTCGATGGTCCCAGGATATACGAACAATGTTTCGAAGACACCTATGATCAAACACTAGTAACCTACGAATATCCTCTACTCTTACCTGCCATGTTTCACTTCCATAAAGTAGGACGGGACGTACTGCTGCACAGTAAACCCGTCCTTTGGTTGATAGACGGATATCTCGCCTACGCCATAAATGACGCAAGTTGGTAAAAGCTAGTCGCGCCTTCTGTATCTGTGCTGAGATTTCGTCACACACCAGCCCACAAGGGCTGATGAGACTTCCAAGATAAATGAAGCGATCGACAAGCACAATTACTTCACTCCCTATCATTAGTTCGGGTGTCAATGCAACTGAATCCTGAAGCAATATTTGCATTTCGAGGGAGAGAATCGCATCCCGAACATGCTTGCACTGTTGCTTAGAGTGGTCAGAAGACTCTGCATTTTGTCAGCGTCTTCGCCAAATAAAACTGTTATCGGCATATTCTAAGTCAACAAGTGAACCTCCTGGTAGAAGTTCAACCCCTGGAAATTTAGATGAGGAGAGTGTTATCTCTAAAAGTACGTCGACCACAAAGTTGAACAAGAATGGGGAGAGTGGACAGCCCTGACGAACACCACTTGATATAATCAATTCTGATGACAGTTCGCCATAAACTCTCACTCTACCAGTTGTGTTCGAGTAGAGAGCCTGAATAAGGTTAATGTACTTCTTTGGTACTCCTTTCAGTGACAAACACTGCCATAGAACCTCACGATCAACAGAGTCGAATGCCGCCTTAAGGTCGAGAAATACTACCATTGTGGGGCGTCTGAATGTGTGTCTGTGTTCTAGAACCTGACGTAGTGTGAATATCTGATCTATACAACCACGTCCAGGTCGAAAACCGGCCTGGTTTTCTCTAATCTGCTCTTCACGAGCTTCGATTAGGCGTCGAAGTATTATTGAGGCTAATATTTTAGACACTATATTAGTCAAACTGATTCCTCTGTGATTGTCACAAGAGGACTTTTGTCCTTTCTTATAGACTGGCACAATCAGTGATTGAGACCAGTCAGATGGGATTACGCCCAGTTCCCAAATTCTACCTAAGACCTCGGTTAATCTCATTGCTAATACTGAACCACCATCCTTAAAAATCTCAGGAATAAACCTGTCAGGGCCTGCTGCTCTCCTTCGCTCCAGATTTCCTATGGCTTTTTCAACTTCGTAAAGAGACGGAGGACTTACATTAACTTGCCATTCAGGTTGACTGGATATCGGTGCAGGTACATTCGGCTGACGAGCCCCAAATGGGACTAATTGACGTGCGTCGTGGATCCCTTTACTAGCCACTATCCATCTTTGCTTATAAATATATTTGTACTTTATGACAAAACTTTATTTTATTGAAGGAAAAAGGATTGTGGTTACCAGTGCTACAATACTCATTTTAAATCAGATTAAAAACACTAAAAATATATTTGACACTAGTTTCCAGAGGTTAGATATTAGGATTTCTTAATAAGAAGTCAAGTGTTCTTAATTTTCCGTATTTACGAAAAGAAGTAAATGAACATAGGTAAAACTCGAACTCCTTGCCAGTTATTAACGGACACAGAACGAACAGAGAATTTAAGTTAATATTTTGTGACAGTTAAAAGTCATTAGGTTTGCGCCCAGATGTAGTGTAGCCATCAGTAGAGGGTAAAAAATATGAACGTGAGTAAATTAATAATAGAGGTAAGAATGGAGAATCTAACCTGAGGATTTTTGAATCTAAAATCTCTTGAGTGCCATTAGAGGTATGAGGGCAGTCATCACTTCCGGTTGCCCACGCCGTGGAACGGTTCTTCCAGAAATACCTGAATAGGGAATTGGATTAATGGTCGTCTTAGTTACCTGAGAGCGTGACCGCAGTGCCCAAGAGTCAACTGCTTGAGGCCAGTCACACACTACCCTTTTGTGAGTAATTTTCGTGTTAGCTCCGTACTTGTTGATACCTTACCGCTCGAGGCAGATGTCCGTGAGATAAGGCGAGGTGTGTATTTTGGGGGTCGACCATTTCTAACCCCATTACTCCTTGTGGGAAAGTAGCATCGTCCTTAAGCAGGTTTTCTGAAGGAAAAATCTTACTACCGTCACGCCTCTGTATAGTCAGAACTATGACTTCGCCCTCGGACCTTTGGTTTACTGCTCTTCAACCAAGCTGTCTGGCACGGTAGGACCTTGAGGAACGATTGTTCCAGCCAGTGTGGCTTGATTGGTTCACTATGATAGACAAGTCCGACCACCACATCAAGGTAGCAGCAACAGTCAACATGTTGCAGACAGTACTCAAAATAATATAAGTGGAATAAGCTATGATAACATCCTAAGATTTTCCAAATGGAGCCTTCCTCAGAAAACAGAGATGTAATAAATGAGGACGCGTTGAAACATTCCACTTCAAAATAAAATTTCCGATTCTCGTTTAAGCCTAGCGAGTTAGCAAAAAGTCATGTTTTGCCATTGTTAACATTTACTAACAACATAAAGCTTCAACTGATATACCGCGACAAAGCCTGGCCTGATGTATTGCATGACCTGAAACTATTAGTTGGTTTGATCAAAGTCGTTACTACTCATATTAGTTTATAGTATAAAAGTAGTTTGGAAGAGAGCTAGGGGTAGCCAGACCAAAACATGGCATAAATCCATGAAGTCACTGACAAGTGGACTGAACCATGTTAGTAGATGTAGACTACCTGGTTGGGGACCGCGAGATGATAGCAACCGATGGTTAGAGACCTTGCATGACATGGCTCAAAATTTTTTGCAGTGGCGCAGGTGTATCCACTCTTTGTGTTTTCCCAAATTCTAATCTTCTGAATTCTTCATGTCCCTTTCTTTTTTCTATTTCCAAATTGATTTCACTGGATTACTCTTTTTGAACAGTATCTTCAAACCCTAATGTTTCCGATTACTGATTATAATCTTACCACCTTTACCACTATGGTATTTGAATTGACAATTGTATCACTGTGCTATGTACTTACGTACAAAGTTCTACGTTGTTGCTGACTGACCTATATTAGTTAGAACGGTGTTTACAGATATAACATAGCCCCATATTAATGAAACCAATACTTTAAAGCGTATTCTTAGCCACGGTCTTAAAATCATATTACATTAAAAAGTGATCTTGAAGTTAAAATACTGTCGTAGTGTTAGCTAATCAGATCTATCAAAAGCCTCCGAGTTGGTTGGTGCAATAAAAGTAACGAATTATTCGTGAGTAATCCTTTTAAAGAGATTGCTTAGCACTCCAAAGAGCGTGTTGAAACGTTCATAGATACCCAAAGTTCAGATAATCAAATCAAGAACAATGATATTATAATAGGTTGAGTGTAAGCTGTAATGTTTCTTTTCTTTCTCTCACCAAAGTGCTGTAAATGTTCTTATTTTAAGAAGAAGAGTTCAAATGGAATTTCTGTTTTCATAAACCTGAAAAGAACAATCTCGAAAGCTAAGAGTGGTAACTAAATGAATTTTAGGTGTAGTTTAGTTAGATCTTCGTCTTTTTAAAGGTTACTTCATGCAACCAAATTATATGGGCAACCCAGACGTACGCTTACTGAAATTTTTAAAATTAAAGTCTGAATGTTAATATAAACAAAATAATAACTCCTCGATAAAAGAACTATTCACAGTTATTAACAATGCTTCTTCGATCCTACAAAAGAATGCAACATTATTTCACAGATTTTTGATCTGCCTAAAACATCCAGCTTCTAGCTCTGTAAAAATGTAGTAAACAGTTTTCGCTGTTGATCGAGTAAAATTTAGTATCTTTCGACACAAGACCAACCAATATATTACGTAACCTGTTACAGAAGGTTCAGACTCAGATTCAGATCGGTGTAGTAAGAACAGAAGGTCTTCGACCTATGTTATTCCTTTTCTAGTATGATTCTGTCAGTGTCTAGTCTTCCCTTGAATGAATCAATTAAAGATGCTTACACCACTGTTTCGAGTAACAGGTTTTAAGAATTGGTGACACGGTGTGAAAACCTGTATACCACTGGTGTTTTGTTCATTCGTTCTTCGTTCAACTACTAGTCTTTTGTTCATTCTTTGCTTCGTTCCTCTGAGTTGTCCCGATCTGGTCGAAATAAAAAAACAGGAAATATATTAGGTACAAAACCATTTCTTAGTATTTGATGCATCAAAATCAGATTATCTCTTAATCTACGGTGGAACAGAGTAAAGAGGCTTAGCTCTTCAAGCCACTCTTTGTATGGTAAACATCTAAGTTCTGGAATTGCACGGGGTGCTGTACTTTTCCCAAGATATCTGGAAAACTTCTTAAATAGGGCCTGAATACAGTTTTGACGTTTAGTTCTCACTAAGGTTGTGTAGACCATAGTAAATATAGTAGTGCCTAAATTGATGAATGCCTGTTTTAAACTCCATAAGGTTCCAAACTCCTAGGCTGCAACCTCGCAGTGGGATGCTGTCTTAAGATCATGACTCACTGTCACTTCAAGAACCTTGTGAATACGAACCACGGATACAGACACTTTCCATAGACTGTACCTAATTACCTTTGTATCTTCAACGTGGATTTAGACGCTTTTACCGCATTGATAGGCATCAGCCGCTCTCTAGACTGGCTGATCAGAAGATCTAAGTCTGCCTAAAGTGCACATGTATCTTCATCTTGTTATTTGCTGCCACATTTACATCATGAGCGTATAGTAGCGTTGGGGACTCAACTATACTTGTGGGTTCATTTACACATAGTATAAAATGTAAAGGACCTAGAAAAGAGCCTTCCGGTACTCCACTAAGCACTGACTTCCGAAGAAACATTTGAAATTTACATTTAATTTTTGTTCACGCTCTACCAGGAAATCTTTAAGCCATTTTAGGAGGGGTCCGGTGATGCTTAGATTTTTCAGCTTCAAGATTAGTCTACTTTTCAGCACCGTATCAAATGCTTTTATGAGATCTATGTAGACAACATCCAATGATTTTCCATTAACTAGAGCCTCTATCCATTTCTTTCTTGCCATTAGGATATTTGATGTGCAAGATAAAAAATTTCTGAAGCCTTTTTTTTCGATGTTAAGCAAGTTGTTGGTTTCCATGAATGTCATTATGGTCTTTTTAATGATTTTTTTTGTATTTTAACTACGGCACTGGTAAAGCTGATAGGTCTTCAGTTTTTCAGAAGTTGTCTTGATCCAGTTTTATTTATTGGAGGGAAAATGACATTCTTCCAGTTCTTTGGTAAATCACCTTGGCCAAATGACAGATTGAATACCGTAGTCAATGAAGCAGCAGTATACTTTACATTTAGTCTCAAGATTTTAAGACGTACTTAATCATATCCTGTGGACTTTATCGAGTCTAAGGTGCTAAGAAACGTAAGTATATCGTCTCTAAAGAAGTTCCCAGCGAGCAGTAAACTCTTTTGAACTTTGCATTTGGCTCTAATTATTCATCTATTTCAAAACATAGAAATACATGCTCACCATCAAAATTATATAGTTAAGAGGTAGATCGCAAAAATTTCCTCCAAGCTTTCTCCACAAGTTATATTAGAGTAAAGCCTGATGACGATCTAATTGAAAACAATTGTTCGCTTATATGTGTTGTTCTAGTTATATAACAGACAAACAATTTTAAGAGTTTAAGAACTAGTTTTCCGGCTGCAAATTATCGGAAAAAAAGATTTAATACCTTTAATATCCAAAACTATTTTTCCCGAGGGTTAGGAAAAATAGAAAATAGATTAAATCTACAACAGCGCAGAAGCTGAAAAAGAGTTTGAAATTCGAGCGTACGTCTCGTGTTGTGATTGGCCAAATATTATCAGCTGGTTAATCTCAAGGTTGTTTGTTATTACTACAATTGGTTGAATATAGTGTATAAAGTACCTAGTTTGAGGCGGGCTTACGATATTCGAGTTTTTGAAAGCTTCGCGTGGTGCATATGCCTAACTTCGGCATCGTCAAAAACACTGAATTAATGAACACGAGTGACCTTTCGAGTGATACTCCAGTTACCCGTCTATCAAAAATTTTGTCAAAGGCCAACTTTCTTGAAGTATCTAAGACGAAAACAGCACCAAAACGTAAGCAGTGTTACATGTTGTAATTTATTCAATAACAGTTCACCAAATATCAGAAATAATACCTCCAGACATAGATGAAAGGTTTGTTGAATAATTTATATCCTTATGTTGCATTAGTGCGAATCAAGAGCCGCCTACAACATCAGTATGGTCTGAAGCCCCCGAATTTTTTGTTCGCGAAAACTCCAACAGTTGCTCCTCCGGTTATTATAGTGGTGCTACAACTCATTCCGCTCCGGCATCATCTATTTGTGAACGTGTAAGTAGACATATTTTAAGTTTATCTTGAAGAAATTCCAGTTCTATGAAATAAATGCGGATCATGATCCTCCTATTTCACTAATCCGAAGCGTCTTTGAAACTACTGAGTCAGCGGCTCCAGGTGACAACACCCTCCGGAGAGCTCATTCTTGTTCTAGCAGAGGATGGTTGGCCAAAAGACATATCCGACAACAATGGCCTCGCATTTCTGGTATATCTCGAGAGAGAGATACATCCTTGGTGAGAGTTGCAAATACAGATACGAATTCATGTCCTGCTGCCATAACCCATGATAATAATCCGTGCAATTTGAGACGCTATTCTCTTCCGCCTGTAGGTGAATCGGGTTCAGGAAGCACCTCAGAAGCCTCACCCCCTAGAGATCATTTAGTTAGCTTTCTTACGTCAGCTAAAAGTCCTAGTCCTGAAAAAAGAATGGAATGTTCAAGTTCTTTGCTTCATCCTATACCTAAAAAGCAACGCATAGAATCACCAAAAGAAACTGATTGTAACTCTACGATACCCACAGAGGAGTTAAATGAAAATTCAGAACATGATAATATTGGATCTTTATTTTCTAATCCAAATGGTGGTCCGAAACCATTTTTTGAACTCCTGCGTCATCATTCGACTCCTATGCCATCTTCATATTCATACAAACATTGCCCAAGTTCTCCTGTGGAGGTATTCAACGATGAAAATATCAATAGACCTAAACTTTCAAGATGTCTTTCCGAAACGCATTCTGTTTCTTACGATGCGGTACGTCAATTTTTAACGCAAATCTAAGTTTCTGTATTTGTTTCATATTGGGTCGTTTCACGATACGCATTCATTTCAGTATTAGGTCTCTTAGTAAGGCTACTGTATGTCATTTAGTTTAAATGTCAATCTTATAGTTTTCGTGAAAAAACTGTTACAGGCACTAACCTTAAAATCATTTTGCCACTAATTTATTGTACTTTAGACGATTTCTACTTTGTATTTATGAGAAACAAATTTGACCTTTTTTTCCCATTTCCTAGACTAATAGCTCGGTGAATACCGATGTAACTTGTGAGCGACAGTATTTAGTCTTGGATTCAAATTTCTTTGCACTTTTTTAAGCCATTTTGGTCATTTGTGATGTTATTTTCAGGGTACTTGTTAGTGGTAATTAAACGGTTTGTTTGTATTCTGGGTCTCTACTAACAATAAGATGTTGAGAAACTAGTCTTAAACTCAACTATAAATATTCATTAGACAGTCTATCCCTAATGTTAAAAACCGGGTATGGCGTATCAGTATCAGTAATCAAAATACAATAAGGTTTTTCAAGGTATGGTTATGGTCAGAATGACCTAAAGTGTTTCAACTAGAGTATTGTTTTTTATTTTCTAGTGCTCTGAACAGTTTGCTTCTCATTCATAAATGTCAGGTATAAGATCCTCTAAATGTAAATATTCATGTAAAAAAAGTTCCGCAAAATGTTTGCATAACTTCCGACTGCTTTGGACTCTCAGTAGGCTGTAGTTTTTAGTTACTAGTTAACAGTAACTTGAAGATCTTTATAACCGTTAACCCATTAATATTAATGATCGTCATTTTGACTATTTCCCATTGAGATTTTAGTAAACGTTGCCTTGATTTATATCGTTTTATCCACTCATCTAAGATATCTGTTTTGGATTGTAATGCTGTCCTATCCACGATATTGTGTTTCTTGTTTAATCATAAAATATTTGAGTGGACGAGTTAGCCGCTAACAAAAAATCATTTTAATCAAAAATTTGATTTTAAAAAATGCTACTTTTAAAGTACTAGGTTCACTCGTCAATAAAATAACTGAAATTAGCTGTCGGTTGAGCTAGTCCATGTGACTTCCTAGGAGTCCTTAATAAGAGAACTTGACATATTCCGCGGACCGAACGTTTTTATCTTTCTATAATTTACTGGTATTTTTGCTTTTTTATCATTAAATATACCTAGGATCCGACCTGGCGGCATCGGCGATCCACTGTTATTAGGTGTGGAACCTCGTTAAGCGAAAGTTTCTTCCATCCCGTCCAGAACCATTTATCTTGTTCCTAGTTATACTTCTACAAATAGCACTATCAGGACGCTTCAGCTCTATTATAAAGTGTAACTTTCAATAAAGTGTTATCCTTTTTTTATCGTGACACTAAATGAGAGCGAGTACAACGTTTTCAATTACCTTAACAAATAAGTTAACTTATCAATAGGAAACCAGGTTGCATTCAATCCCATACAATAAAATTCCATTAGCTTTAATGTCTTATCGTCCTATGTTAGACTTAATAGTTAGTTTAGTTATATAGGTTATTACGCCTGTTTTGATCTTTTCTAAAATTTTGTTTATACTTTCTGTAGATTGCACGTTGTATTGGCTCTTTGAGCAGTCACAGCTTGTGTAGTGATGGTAGACGGGCGCGTGCATTACCTGTCGTAGATAGGACTGGTTCCGGTCTACACTGCGTGTCTACAGATACGGTCGGTGATCTAATATCTGGCTCCAAGCGTAATATCAATTATGTCATTGTTGATTGCCGCTTCCCTTATGAATATGAGGGAGGACACATTAAAGGAGCAATTAACATTTTTACTCACAGTGATCTAGTTCAAGAGATATTTAATCGTGTCCCTGCTCAAAGACCTCCTGGTACATCTGGACCTCCACGATTTCTTGGAGAAGATTTAGCACGAAGATTAGCCACTACACAGCGGGAGCCACTTTCTGCTCCTTGCGAATTAATATCTGACGATGAAGATGAAGATGAATTTCCTGAAAATACAACTTCGGAGATTTCTGATTCGGATCTTGCATATGCGAACGATGAAGTTATTTTAGAAAAGAATATTCATAATGATAGCCCAAAATCAGAACCAGATCTTAGTTATGTTAGCAGTGGTTTATCAAATATTAGTGAATCAAGCAACCAAGATCCTCCGTTCGTTGTGATATTCCATTGCGAATTTTCTTCTCAACGAGCTCCAGCATTGTAAGTTAGATAACGATATTTTACAAATGATTGACTTTTGGTTACACTACATACCTTGGAATCCCAAACATCCTTACGGTTTAAATTAAGAGTACTAAATTTTCTGTAGTTTGAACTTGTCAGTGGCTCGCGGATTTTGTTGCAAGTCGTGCGTTTTAATTAGAACGCATTTCTATGTTACAATAGACAGCTGCTAAATTCTCACTGGAAAATTTTTCTCGAGTTAATTATTTCAGTGATTTCCCCAGTAGCATCACGGTAGTTAATTACAATTTTCTTTAATAACCCTACGTTAAGGGTAACAATAATCTGACACTTGTTAGTTCTACAAATACACAAAACAATTTAGAATCACTCTGTGTCTACACCACTCAAGATTCCTGGATAGTTCAGGTGATCTTAAATACAGTGAGTTTTTGTATCAACTTACAAACAAGTACCTGCTTGTTTGGATCTTAATATACGACATTGGCAGAAATACAAAAGCTCTCATAAATCAACTTAGAATACTATCCTTGAGAACTTCAAGGAAGTTACTTCAACTAACTCGGTAGAGAATCTCAAGGCTATGCTACTTTTACTGCCTCTATCACTATGGGATTTGAATCGAAAATTGTGTCTCTTTGGTATGGCAACTCGAACTGATTTACGTACGTACGAAGTTCTACATTGTTGCTAACTGACTGACTCTTAAGAAATGGGAATCATGCATACGATACAACATGCGTGTTGAACTTCTCATTCACGAGTATGTCCTTTAAGGTTAAGATTACGACTAAAATTTCAGACAATGTACAATGGTGCTCACGATGTTGTGGGTCATTAAAAGTCCCTTCTATGTCTCCCATATTCTAAGGAGCATAAACCTAACACCCGGCACACCTCTGAGCATTTAAATTTCAAACCCTGGATTGATTTTGTAAGTCATCTACGTGATGCACTTTGAGGTATTAATTTCCTGTTGGATGGAAGAGCTAGATTAACTAATGTTTAACATCCAGTTTCCCAGCGTAATTTAATTACATGAAGTAACCTCATATAAAATAATGTGAAGATTTTTATATCCAGGTTCTCTTCTGATAATAGTTAAATCTTCATCCTTTCTCATTAAAGGGCTGCATTTCTTCGGAGCGTCGATCGTGTTTCAAATTACCATCGTTATCCATTTCTTTATTTTCCGGAAATTTATATAATGAAAGGTGGATATTCTGCATTTTACCGAAAATTCCCAGTAAGTTGACTGCCGTTGTTGGTGTTTCTTTCCGTATAAAACAATCGTTCGAGATAATAAAACCATCTTTATTTTTTTTATTTAGCATTTATGTACTCCGCAAGAATACGTTAAAATGTTCCACCGGGATTACCGGAATCACTTACGTTTGTATAAACGTCTTACTCGTCGTGTCAGTTCAGCCTGTATGGCATGTATAAAACCTCAACAAAATGAAGTTGATAAATCCCAAATACCTGTTTCCGAGGTTGATAGTTATTGTCAACTTCCGTTGAATCTAAAGGTTGGTGTACATGACATGTTTACAACACATGAACCACCAACTTACCAATTTCGATCCAATCGTGAACTGCCTATGCATGAGGATAATTCCATCTCTGATCTTGTCAATTATGAAAACAAAGAAAACTACTCACCTTCCGGTAGGTATTTTTGTTATAGATGCGATTGTCATTATTGTGCTGTATTGTGTGAGGTAGTATGGGTTACTGCCATCTCTTATGAAGCATCCTCAAGACTTAGCTTCTCAAACGCCTTTACTCATCTATTCATAAAACTGCTCTGAATTGATTTCAGACCGCGATTCTCTAGATAGGAACGGACTGCTTAAGTTTACTAAGTTGCTCAGATTTTCAAATTCTACCTTGACTGTTTGGCTAATCTTCCGTACAAAAATGACTATAACTGACTAGTTCAGATGATGTAAGGTTATACTATGCTGTCAAGCTTACTCTAAACATTAACTAGATGTAGTAGGAAACGAATTCGTTATAAGTATCGCATTACTAAAGCGTCGTAGTTAAGTAACTCTGTTCATCCTTATAAATAAGTCGACTCTACTTAAACGATATGTTTACCTTGAAACTGGGCTTCTTCTGGATTATCAATTTGGATATGTAACTGGAAAACCTGAAAATAATTTGTTGAAAAATTAAATTAACAGTTAAACAATAGTGGCTATAGTTTCCTCTTGATTCCCTATTGTTTCCAACCACATCAACCAGTGTTAAAAAGATTAAAGCCTTCAACTAAAAGTGGCAGAAGATGGGAAATCATCTAAAGTTTCAATTGAGCTAATCAATGTATGAAGATTTTAAAAATATCCTGACCGTAGCTGCTACCTTGACGCGGTGGTCAGGCTTGCCGACCGTGATGACCCAATCGAGCTATATTGGCTGGAACACTTGAGGTTCCTTCAGATCCTATCTTGCCAGGCAGATCGGTTGGAGAACGGTAATACCAAAAGCAGCAAACTCATGTTACAAGTACAAATTTATATTGTTGGTTGCTTTGGGGTGTGGTAGTATAAAGTGCTCGCTACTTGTCATTACCAAATGACCCTGTGATCCACAACAAGTAACTGGAGGTGTCTAATCTAAAAATAACATGTCTCACTCTCAATGTTCAAAATATAGTGTCCGAAACAACTCACATAATTGTTGTTGCTTGAGCTGTGTTCACTTTTAATGTTCGACAAAACCTTTCTTACTAATTCGACTACCTTTCCGAGTTATTTAAAAGAGTAGTAATAACTGTTCACGCATGAATAGTAGGGCATTTAAGCTCATATTCTTAACAATATTCTAAAAACTGTCTGTTTTGTTTACTAACTTGGTGAAATACCGGTTAATTTAAGGCATTTTCTGTATTCAAAACAAATGTGGTAACTGAGTTTGAATTCCTTTCTTTGATTCCCTCTGAGTGTTCATTTTGTATAAATAGCTTATGAACCCGACTGACTATAAAAACATTTCTATTCAGAATAAATTTTTTATAGTAGCTGTTTTTATATTATCAGGTTCTGAACTGTATAGCAAATCTCAAACTCACCGCTCCTGTTCAGCCGATAATGTGAATGAAGAACCCAAACATGCTATGCTTTCTCCTAATGTTGAAGGTTGTAACCAAGTGTCATCAAGTGTGGTCGACAGTCCTCTTGGTTTGGCAGAAGTTGTTGTAAGAGTCGGTCGTCGTGTGATAGCAGCAACATTGGGTAGTACCAATAATAACTGTTCTGAGGTTGCTCGTGCTTTAGATCGAATAAAGTATCACAATCCACCTCAAATTATTCAACCACTTGAAGGGAAACCACCTATACGTTGTCTTAAGCGTTCACTTACCACTAATTCATTGGATATTCGTCATCAATTAATTCGCCCAAAAGTTTTTAATCCATTTTGTGGTGGCAATAGTTATTCACAAAATACACCTTCAATAAGAAGAGTTCGAACAAATTCTAACACTGATTTATTGTCTATTGATAATACCGTGAATAGTATTCTGGCACCAACATCATCCACTACCTCAAATCAAATCCACCAAGTTCAATCCTCTCCACAAAAAGAACAATTGTCATACCATAGTCTTTCTACATGTAGTGAATAAGTGTATAATACATTACTTGTTTTTATTTTAACGAACTTATGTAGTTATAATCATCCTTATTTACAAATCAATCCGTATTCATTCTGTACATAGATGTATAGTTTGTGTGTACATACATGTATATTCTGTTAATTTTTGTCGAACAATAAAATTACGTTTCAGAACAATATCCTCTTAACTACCCATTCATTTACAACCTGATATTCACAATTCTCTCTTATATTTTGTTATGTATAGCTTTTGTTCTATTCAGTTTAAATATTTCTAGTTAGTTTCACTAGGTTGCAGCAGTTTGATAATGGTTTTTAAAAAAAGCGATTATCGCTGCTGTTGGAATCTAGTGATCATTTGTGCTTTGTGACATTATTACTGTCTGAGTTCCTCTCGGTTAATGTTTTTTCCTCGCTATTCGTTTCAGCTTATGTTCTCCCGACATTTCGCTGGCGTGTTATTTATTTTGCTTTGTGTTTTTGTTATGTCTCTTCTTTCTGCAATCACGTTTATGTTAATATGTTTTTGAAAAATGTTAAAACTTGAGCTGATTCGTTTTATCACCGAACCCATATTTTCAGGCAGTCGATGAAAGTATGCTTTTGGTAATGAAATTTTGCGAAGATCAATTACTACAAATATAAACCTGAACTTGATTAATTTCACTTTAATTCATAAAATTCGTTTGACAGGTTTAAAATATCAGTGCTAGTTGGTTGAACCCTATCTAAAAGCATTATAAATGATCAACTATAAAGTCAGTCAGTTAATTGCAACATAGAACCTGCACGTATTTACATCAGTTCAAGTTGCCATATCCCATTAGCACAGAGATGTAGTTGTCAGGCCAAATCCCTCAGTAGTAGAGATAGTAACAATATCGGTTGTAATATGAAGGATTTGGCACTGGAGATACGATTCGAGGGGAAAATATAGATTACTGTAATAATAAATTATGAGGAATTTAAAATCTCAGTTTGGGTGAAGACGAAGAACGGATGCATCTGCATTATTGCAAACGATTTTGAACTATGTCATTCAAGGTCTAGCTACTGATTACGATAATTATGTGGACCCTAAACAGATAGTCTAAACATATTAACTTGGCGAAATCCAATGTTAATGACTTCGTGGACTAGAGCCATGTCTGGCCGCCCTTAGTTTTCTTTCAGACTAATCTTAAACTTAACAGCATCGCTTGTCGAGGTAGGCAGTGGATGAGCATACGTAGCGCGTGTTCCAACCACCTCAGTTGGTGAAGTCGGCAACGGATTTGCCATCTTTACGTAGTAGTCTATTCCTAATACAGATATTGCTTACGCCGTGGTACAAAACTACACGAGTAATGCTTTGTGGGCACTTATGATCGAATGTTATTAACCTGCAAATAGCACCTATTTTTAATGGCAATGTTTCACATCCATGCAGTAGAACGAAGCAAACTGCTAGGCAGTGAGCTCGTCCTTCGGTTAGGAGACTTATGTTTACCTACCCCACAAGTCGGGAAGTTACAAAGTATACTTTTAAAGCGTCTAGTTATTTCATGAATTTGTAGAAATTAAAATATTGGATTTGTTTAGAATTCTAAAATACATAGCAATTGTTCAAGAAACAATTAGTTCAGATTGTTACCCTATTTTATTATATTACTGAATAACTAAAACTTTTCACAACGTTGGTTACAGGCTACATTTATGTTTGTACAGATGATGACATTTAGTAGATCTCCAGGACACATTTTCCCTCTAACTCTGTTTCTGCAAAGTAAACTGATCGATCCAACTCGAAATTTAAACGACAGAAAAATACTAACCCCTTTATTTAATCCACCAGATATCTATATGTAGTACATTTGATTCAGACCCATATAAATATGATTTAAGACTGTATGGTTTAATATGTTAAATTGGATTTTGCTTATTCATTCTCAAATCTGCATAATTTTCTACAAGTGGTTATTTTTGAATTTGCATAATAACATGTAAACGCACAGATTGAATGATCATTTCCCTAATTGAATAGTGGTAATTAATTTTATGAAATATAACTGATTACATTTTTTATATTATTCACCTACAATTTATTCATATTTTCATTTTCAGAATTTCTTTATAGGGATTGTTATGTATGTTAATTTATTAGTCAGTATGATGTGGTAGGGATTAGTTTGTATTTAAATAACTAAATTAAATGGTCATTTGTGATTCATTAGTATGCGAGTTTATGTATTATTGTCGTGCATCAATCCCTAATGCCTCTTCTCTCGAAGTGTACCACAATATTTCGTGTTAAAATTTGATCAGAACGAAGCGAAAATAGATTTCATGATAAAAATGTAAAAAAGAATTTTTTTACGATTATAGATTTATTGTAGGCATCTGTAACACGTAAATATTATATGTTAAATAATGGGCAAGCCTCTATTTCCGTTAACTGTGTCATTCATGTTAATGCCGACGACATTATTGGTGGTATACTAGCAATGTACTTATTATCACTTAACTAGTTGTAAAAGCAGATTAACTTTTATATCAGTCAGTAAATTGGTGTATCACTGCTTAAGACGTTGGATTATATGCCACTAGGTCCTAATTTTGAGTGGATTTTAATATACCACAATCAGTAAATCATGTCAATAATGATAGTTTTCGAAATTTTATAAACAGACGACTGTTAATTGGGTCAATTAAAAATCAAACAATTGTTTTTATGCAAAAAGTACCTAATCCAATAGAATGGTCGAGTTATACCCTTCTTTAATTTGCTATGAGCATGATAAGGTTAGTTTTTAAGTTTCCTACTTGAATGTTTTTGAATAATTCGATTTTGATACCAAGATTTTTACAGAATTGAATGAATTATCTACTAAATATGCTTATTCGTGTTGTAATTAATACACTAGTATTGTTATTTTTGAACCAGGGAGTATTATTTGAATACATAATACCTTTCGGATTTATATCATACACATAGTTCCCTTTATCATTTTGAAAAGAGCAAGGACAACTATTCTAGCAGAATAGCGTGAATTCATTTTATTTCGTTGGTTCTCGTCAGCTGCTTACAACCTGTAATATTTAAAATCGTAATTACATAATTGGTTTAAATTACATGGAAGGGTTTGATTGGGAGTTATATTGATGACACATTAATATAATATAGTAAGGATGTAAATAAATTGTAAATATATACCTTATGTGAAAGGACATTGATTGTGACAACAGTTCAAACGACCAGGAACAAGTGATTACATCATGAGTAAACGTTGGTAGGAATAAAATGAGTAGAGCTCAGTTGATAAAGTCAAATTACTAATCTGGAAGATAGTTAAAATAAAAATGATGTAATAAATGCAAGAAAGAACTTAAAAAAAAGAAAAAAATTGAGATAAAGCAAATGAATATTTGTTTGCTTTAGCTTTATGATCAACTACAACGGTCTCGTGCCGATTACAGTCACTTCCATTATTCGAACTGATCAACTCGCTCATAAACTACTATTTAACATAAGCAGCCCTCTAGTTTGTTACTTCACATCAGTATAGCGAAAGATTGTTGATTTCTCGAAAATATTTTCATATTATTTTATATTGTATTTGGTATTTTTTGCAATTCGCGTATGAAAATAAGATAAGTACTACAAACTACATACGTCTAATTTCAAGCTTTATGAGTTTTGTAATGACTCAGCAACTGGCAATTATCTCGTTCTAGTAAACGAATTCTTTGTTAGTAAGTTTTATATCTGCGATTTATTAGTTACTTTATTTTTATGAATGCTAATATTATCAGACCAGTTTATTGTATATCGAAATTATTTTGACCTGGGGACGTGAATTTCTTTGTATATTCATAAGCTTAACCCGTTTTTTTATGGGGATGAAATGAACAGCTGTATTGGTTATACGCCTGCCGTATGCTCCCATGTGATTTTTCTCTTCACAAAATATATCCACCCTCATATAGCATTTTTGCTTTTTTCAATTTGTACATGCACGTGTTTGTTGGATTTGTGTATACAGTATGTGGGTAAGGTGGGCTGTTTGTTTTCATGATCAAATAAGGCAGAAATCATTGGAATTGACCTGAAAACTTTTTAATCTCTACTTTCGATAGTCGCATGTTTTTCATTGGTGGAAACATTTTTACTATGTGTAGACTAGCTGAAATCACCACCGTCCTGTGTTGATCTTCAAATCTGAAATTAATTTTTTTGTTGAAGGATGAGTCATTCGTGTTAATATCTCCGTTTCTGTATTTGTGTGTTTGTCTCACTAGTAGTACTACCAGTCGGTAAGGTCACATTAAACATTTTCTGTCTATAAAGGACTGTCTCTTGTTTGCTCTTCAGGACACAATAAGAAAAACAAAAATTTTCTACTGGAAATCTCTTTTTAAATAATGCCTTATGTGTTATTCTGATAAAAATTTTCTGTGGCCGATTACTCATCATCAAAATCATCAATAATAGATTGTGTACTGTTATGTAACCCTCGACAGATTAGCAAGGACATAGTAAACTTAATTCTTCTACCATAATTCATAACCTTTAAATTAAATGTTATTTAGCAGATTACTTTTATCATACTTGAAGAACAATTATGAATATCATTTATGCTTATATTTGCTTTCATTTTGTTTTGTCACTGTTGGACCATGTCTAACGCTATAAAGATTATCGTTTATCTGTCTAATTGTTATTAGCACCACTTGGCCTTGTAACACCCTCACGTAAAAAAATAGGTTCAATGTATTTGAAAAAAGTCAGCTTTTTTTGGGTTATGTGAGTGAACATAAATCCCATCCTTGTTCACAATTTCGACCCTGCACATGAAGCGGAATTACATTTACACAACTGTAATCCACTATGAAGAGTGTGTTCCGTTATTGTTGTTTTTGTTAGATTATTTGTAAAATATTTTCTACAACGAAAATACCACTCCATCATCCTACTGTGGCATCAAATGTAGTAGAATCAGTCATTATAGGAAAAAAATTATAAAAGCAAAAGACATACCTCCAATTAATTATATCATAGAAATTATTCCAAAATATTTACCATGGAGTGACTAAAACATAACCGCAATTACTTACTATCATACACTTAAATGACCTAAGGACGTGAAGTGCACCCCTGTCCGGTTATTTGACCGTTTGAATATTGTTATCTTATCAGTAGGTCAACTTTTTAAATCGGATCGTTATCTATTTCATGCTATAAGTTCAACTGCTCTTAAGCATTATTATAAAGTGATAAAATTAGATGGAAAAAACATTGATTGGTTCGCTTTATTTTCACTTCGATCAGAAACTAACTAACTCACGCTATAATTACATTTGATACTAGTTTATTAAGCTTGAGTTCTACTGTTTATTCAGTAAATGAAATATTTGTTAATTTTAATATTTTGATTTTGTCTTGGAGAAAAATCTGCAAGTTTCATGTCAGCCTCTCACTTTCTCCATAGATTAGACTCTACATTGTATTTAAATCTAGAATTGAGAACTTTTGTTGACTATCAGTTACCGATGATTTATCCAAATAATTTATATTGTGTGATTAGTACCTACTCCATCATAAACTATAGTTGAGACAAAGATCAATCTTATGGGTAGCAAAAGTACTTAAGTTCACTTAAATGTAAATCGTAGCATTTA